AGTTATTGCAACACCCAAAAGCTATTGCCTATTTGTTTCTATGGACGAAATCAGGGATTTAGTAGGACGGTGTGTGACAAACGTAATATTGCCTTTACACTGGAAGTCGGTAAAAATATTTAGGACTTTTAGGAAAAATATTTTTGCTCAATTCAGAAATTTTAGAAAGAGCTAACCATACATCTATTTCCATCACTAAATTATTAAATATATTTCTACATATTTTATGGCCCCAAGGAATAAAGCATGACAATATTTTGTTGTTTTTAAGTGATGCCGCTCCGTATATGATAAAAACTGGCAGAGGTATAAAAATCGTGTTTTCCAAGTTAAAGTCGTTTGGCCCATAGATTACATAGGGTTGAAGAAGAGATTCGAAAAAGCTTGCCAAAAGTAGATCAATTAATATCGAACATAAAAAAAATATTTTATTAGTTATAAACAAAATCATGCCTATGTATCTTTAATATTTTTGAACTGCTATCATAAAAATTAATGAGGAACAAAGTATTACATTTTCAAATGTAAGATTCAAATAGAAACACTTTATCAATATTTATAGAAAAAGCAAAAAATTTTTTCTAATAAGTTTGAAGATTATACTGTAAAAATATCAAGTTTAAGCAGTTATTCGTTTTTGTGTTTCAAGAAAATAAGAAAATCACTCCATGATAAATCATTAGTTTGCGGGGTGGATATTCATGTCAAAATAATTCAAACATTCAACACTCATAAAAAATTAATTTGACTTTCCTGTAAACTTTTACTTTGTTAAGGAAGGAAAACTTATGAAGAATCTTGTAGTATATTTTAAAAATCTTAGATATAAATAGTATGAAGTTAAATTTTTCCACCAATAGATGGCCACTACACACAAGCCTCCTTCCGAATTGTAAGTTTTATTTAGTTCATTTTATTCTGTTTTCTAATATGTCCACCAACAATAACGCACGAGGAACCTTGTCTTAAATTGTCCAGTTTTTTGACAGTGCAACATTTTTTTTGTCGAAAATATTTAAAAAAAATAAAAATCTAAAATGTCTTATGAATAACAGAATAACTCAAAACAAGACGTCGAAGTATTATAAAAGTTAGAATTTTAACGAAATTGATCAAAACTGTGAAAATTTAAAATTATTTTGTTGTTAGTTATGTATAAAATGTGCAACTTTTTGGCGAAGGATTGAAAATTTAAAACAAGGCTTCTAACAAGTATTTCATACATCATCCAAAAAATCTCAAAATGGTATACACACAATTTTTTTAATCATATTTTAAGTTCAAATTTAGAAGAAATTAGATATTTAATCCAAGTTTAACGATTTTAGTTATTTTGTTGAATTTAAAAATATGATTCGTGGGCAGTCGAAGTTGAAACTTTTATTGTATATTGTATACATATAATGTAATTTTCAAATGAAATTGCTTGGTCAAAAATAATTTCATCCTATTATATTACTAATAGTAAAATAAATTACAGTATCAAATTATTTTGCATTTGGGACGCATTTTGTATACCGTTGGATTGAGTTCCTCTACTAATTGTTTCCAAATTCGAGCACTGGGTAATACCCTATATGTAATACATAATAATGGTGAAAAGATTAATACCTTATTAAACTTGTAGTCACAACATATTTTTGTATTAATTGTTTTGGATGAACAACCAATTAATTCATTAATTTCTGAAATTAGTCGAATTAAATAGCAAAGAATATAATTTAAATAATTATTAATGTCTTAATTATAAACAGAAATTCATATTTTGTTGACTTAATATCACAATTTTTTACTTAACATAAATTAAACTGTATAATCGAACAAAAAAGTAAATACATTTACTGACATCAATACAACACCAAATTGGCTGTTATATGTACCTTAAATATAACTTATACTTAATAATTTAAAATATATAACATTGAAAGCACATTTAAACTTAATATATTATTCTGAATATAATATTTAACCTAATTTAAAGATATAGTTGCATACATACATATAAGTTGGTGTTACTCATGTACCTTTTAAGTGAGAAATAATACACATATACAATTAAACTTTACAACACGGAATTCCAAAAAATACAATCATTTACAAAATATTAATAGTTTGAATAAAATTCAATCGCATAACAACATAACATATATATTACTTCTGTCGGCACTATATTATATTATGATATTGCAAAATGTAGTGATTACAATATTAAAGCACGCAGCGTTGATTGAAATAAATTGTTATTTAGACATGTTAACGGAATACGATTTTTAAAAACATTTAAATATAACCAGTCAAATAGTTCTTCTTAAAAATATGTTTTCTGTGTTCTAAAATGCATGCAAATATCTTAACGTGATTATTGTTTAAAAGCTAGGCATTAGAACACTTTATTTTAAAAATGAACCACTGATGAAAAAAGTGATAAAAAAGTTTGACAAGTATTTGAGGTTATTTCGTTTTTTATTGAGTTACGTTCCCCCTAAAGTCGTCTAAAAATATGTATTTTGCAAGTATTGAGTGCTTGATTGGGTTGAATTTGTTTGTTTAATTTAGAATTCGTTTGATATTGGTTCGCCCAAGTTAATTTTCAGTACGGAGGGCCGGAGAAACAATTAAGAGAATTTAGTTTTGGAATTAAATATTTGTCCTCATGCTTAACCATAAAACAGTTGTAAAATTAAATTTATTATGTTTGCCATGTATTAACAAAATGTAGTACTAACATTCCTTCAAAAGCATTTAATCGACTTGTTAAGTAAATCAAAAAGAGAATAGTAGTCGATATTGTAGATGTTAAGAGTGTTAAGAAAATATAATCATATATAAATAGTATATGTAGTTGTAAATAACCTTATATTAAAAAAATTAATTTACAGTAATTTTCAAAATAAAAATCTGAAATTCTAAGAATAACGATAAAAAAAATTATAGGAAAGTGCATATGATACATTTAAGTGTATCTTAAGTACATTATATGTGCGTTAAAGTACGAGCCCCAAACTAATAACCCCTGCTAGGCCTATACCATCTGAAATATATAACTTGACATTAAAATATTTCAATTTTATGCATAGGAGATTGGGAGAATGAATACATTTCTAGACCAGTCAAAATTGCAACACTTCCAGGGAGAAATTTAATTATAAAAAGTAGTGGTAATATGAGATTATTATAGATGTATTGAGGTACTTTCCTAATAGGAAAGCATAAAATATTATGAATTATTTATTTTATTAGTATCAAACAACTAACAAGTGTTCACAGAGCGTCCAGCATATATCAGTCCACGTTAATTTTGTATAAACTAAATGATTATCTAGCAGATGAACGCTCAGGTTATATTGCTAGAGAGGGTATACATGTATATAACTACTATCACTATGTAAGAGTACTATTTTAGATGTATTTTTTCTCAGAGTACTATACCAACTTCTCGACAGTCTCCATGTTATAATATTATATCTTTTATTTTTAAAAGTTATTCAATTATTTGAAACTGTGTTTTATGATAAATAATTACTATACTATTTTCACGAGACTTGTGAATACAGACATTTATTATTCAACTGTAAGTCACTCAAAATAATCTTGAACTTTCACTCAACAAACGTTTAAAGTTTCAACCAACATATTTGAATTATGAACCAAGGAAACGACTGAGAATAATATAATATTATAATTTATAATTATTGCACTTAACCAAATCCAATATCAAAAATATTAATATAAATATCTTTTTTAAAAAACTCGATAATAATTTACAATTACTATTGTTATTATTATTATTGAAATACGCGTTTGAATTAATCTTTTTTTTTAAGACTTGATAATAATTGACAATAAGGTACTTTTATTATTATTGAAATATATTTTTAAGTTGTATGGTATTACATTTTTTAACCTAACAATTTGGCTATAATATCAAGGTTTTCATTTGTAAGTGTGGTTTAAAGACATTTTATTTTATTGATAACATGTCCCATATTATATATAAACAAAATATTAAACATAGAGATCTACGAAAATCAATATTTAAGTTTTAATATGGAAATTGCCTCAAATTTGATTTTCTGACATCCGGCAACAGATTTTTAACAATTATGGTTGTTAGTGGTCTTTACATTAGTCATGCTTGTAGCTAGTGATTTACGCTTAGAGGAATTATCTGGAAAAAACTACTTCAAACATTTCAAAGTTCCATTTTTAATCTTACACGTCTTTTTACAGAAAAATTGTATACCTCATTGAAAAAACAACATTTTAACGTACTAGTTAATACACAAATCCGCTCGTTGTCTAGAATTTAAAATTAGGTATATACATTATGTATATGAAAAAGATTTTTGTGGGTTTATAAAAAGTATTTATATAAGCATTGATATTGATTTTACGAAAGTAATTTTACTAGATTTACGAGTACAGATACGTCAAAACGGAAATGTAAATATTGAAAAACGTGACTGAGCTACACTACGCGACGAGTACACTTTACCGTGGTTATTACGACACTCTAAGGTTTAGTTAAATGGAAAAGAGGTTTATTCTTTTTTACCGACAATAAACTGTCGTCATCAAATTTGAGGATACAAAACATAATTTGATCGAACCATAGGCGGCAATGGGAAATTTCGATTAAAACGTCAACTCACTATCATGGCGCCACTGTGAATATTGTACGTTTTTAACACACTGTAATATTTACTCGTTGGATTACAATTATCACTACAGAGTTGAGACGTCTGTTCATATTATTTACACCAATCATAAAACTTAATTTCATTCGACTAAAAAATTTAAATCTCAAATCATGTCATAATATAATATTATTAGCATGTACTGTAGTAGTATTTCATATTTCAGTAATCTAATGAACTTGAGTAAAAGTATTCAAATACATTTTAAGTGCTCAGATACGTATTTTAAATACTGTTTCAAAGTATCTGCATTAAAAATTAAATATACATTTTTAGATAATATTTCTTTTAGCTTATAATATGTTTTCTATTTTCAATTCAAACTCGAGGTGTAAAACAAAAATGAGAAATGGATAGAAATGATATATTCATTTACTATGAAAATATTAAATACTACGAATTCGACAAAAGTTAGTTATTTGTATATCAGTCGTCTCACATTTTCAGAAACGTATTCAATATAAATAATTATTCAATTGAAAATACCAATATACTCTTTATAGGCCAGTATATAATAATATGCACTATAGATATTTTTTGTGAAACTAAAATGTACCCATCCAAAAACTCAATCCTCGACTAAGAAGACTGAATTTATAATAATTATACCAAATGATAGTATGTTACTGTGTAAATTAATGCTTCATAATAAACATGCAAATACTGAACAATTTGATTTGATTGATTCTTAAGGTAAAACAAAAATAATATGCATACAATTTCAAAGCATTTCAAAATATCTATAAATGTTTTTATAAAGTGTGTATCTGCAGTACTTGAATACTTTTAAAAATTATTTTTTACAACACCGCATATTTCATAATACATTTGATTATATTGTGCATCGACATGCATTTAAACAAACACATATTATGGGAACTTAAATATTATTTTACTATAAATAAAAAACACAAAACCACTTATTATTCTAGTATATCTAAACATTAATATTATAATATTGTACAGTTGTTAAAATAGTTATCGGTCATTATTGCGGACGACCTTTGAACATATCGCGCGTTCACTGGTCGGCACTCATGCATGAAACGCGTTTTGAAGGTCCTTTAAATATTAAATCATATTCAAAATTTAATTGGGTTTCGGATCCTTTGAAAAAAACATGCCTTTGTCCGATGTTTTTATCTTGTGGCAAAATCGACTCCCGAAGCAAATCGTCTGAAAACGGTCAATGTTATTAACTGAAAAAAAAAACAACAACACGAGTTTATGGGTTTGTTCTTCATAATTTATTGTTCGTTATAGTTATATTATGTGTACGTTCTTAAGTTAACACCCGGCCTTTGATCATTTGTACAATGCAATAAGTTGAGCTGTAACATTATATTGTGTTTATATATTATTATTACTGTTTTTTTACGCTTGTATCCAACTGCTCCGTAAAAAACTTCCAACGGTGAACTCGTTTTGTTCTTTTATACAACTTAACTAGTAGGTGTAATTTATTTCTCGTTATTAAAATGTTTGTTTTGTTTGTTTGTTTGTTTGTTTGTTTGTTTGTTTGTTTGTTTGTTTGTTTGTTATTATTATTATTTTTTATTTTAAATCGAACAAAATATCAACCACTTTTAATAATATGAATATGACCTTTTGTCGTTCCACTTTTTTAAATAAATAATTTTGATCAATCATATACTATTATTATGCATTTTGTAAACCAGTGGAATAACAAGTGGTAATAATATTGAATAATGGTCTACAGCCCTTTAGTCAATATGTTTTGACTGAATTATATTTTTTTATAGAGATAGTATATTATTGTTTTTGGCTTTTGTGGAAAAGAGTTGATATAATAATAATAATAATAATATTTTGTTTTTAGGTTTTTTTTTATGCGGTCATCAAAATTGATTCTTGTTTAAATAAAACTAAAAATATCGTCTAAACAAAGAAAAAATATAAACTATAATTTAATACAATTATTATCAGAAAAATAGTTGTTTTTATAAAACGGCAAGACATTAAAGTTCATAAAAAAAAAACAAATTACATTATGAGTTTTATGCAATCGGCAGATGGTAAATTCTATTGCATTAGGAACTTAAGGGAACAAAATTTGATCATATAAACTAACTCACATTTTGTCAAACCATTTTATCTTTTATACCTACTCTTTCTTGCGTGATTGAGAGGGGCCTGATATCAACATTTTAAATTAAATTAAATTAACAGTTTAATTCCGTATTCAGATATTCCCGCTAAGGCTAACAAAATTATAGGGTTGTACCTATTTGTATATCATAATAATTACTAAACATAGTTATTACTAATTAGAAAGTTTATTTATAAACACAATACTCTCATAAATATTTTATGCGGAAATCGCTGTCTTCATATTTTGTCATTAATGACCACGATTCGGTTCATTTTGAATTGAATACTCAAAAATATTTTTTTTAACCTATTTTTGTAAACGATTAAAAATTAACTTAAAATCATATTTATTGAACAATCATTTGTAAAAGGCTGCATAAAAAAATTATTAATTGTGTGTCCGTATAGGTATTTGCCCTATAATAATGTAATATACTTTTGATATTTTTAAATCGCTATAATAAGTAATAACAGCTTATGAGGAATCTTGTAACTTGTAAGTGTTATACTTTTAAGCTTTTGGAATTATAGTCAAATATTTTATAAATCTTCAACAAGGTACAAAATAACTAAAAAATGTTCTTTTATATGACAGTAAATGTTGTCAAAAGTTAAATTTCAAATACTTATAAAAAAAAGTGCTTATATATTTACTGTGCTTTAAATTTCTATACTTATGTATAGCTATTATGATGAACTTTGTGTTAAATGTTCAAGCTTTATTAACATTAATAAAAAAAAAAATACAAAAAAAGCCTAAAATTGAAATTTTTTTATAAATTTCCTAAATATTTTGAGAATAATATAATATTATGTAGAAAAAACTAATTTGTACATTCTTTGAAAATTTCAATAATTTAAGATCATTCCTTTTTTAATTAAAACAAATAGACATAATGCATTTACAAACAATTTTACATAACAAAATACAAAGAGATATTTACTTTATCGAAGTATCATATATTTATATATATTTATATATTTGATGTTTATGAAGGAATAAACTTATCAATATAATATGTACCTACTGCTGTTTTTATTTTGGTGTACATATCCCTCGGCAGAAATACCGTTCTGATGAAATATTTTTCGGAATAAATACGGATCTGACAAAAATACGAATCATACATCAAACTTTTCATACGATATATTTTTCGGCTAAAATACGGTTCTAATGAAATACTTTCAGATATTTTACTCACCCCCTAAAAGTTGCAACATACTTTCAACAAACATTCATACATCACTGTAATTCTGAATAAAAAGCACTTTTGAATAATGCCCAGATAATCAAATACCACAGAGGGCTACATGAACACTATTCACACTAAAATATTAAAATTCAAAATTATATATTTCCTATAGTATTAATTTTACAATTAGCTATGCCTTGTGTTATAGCTATGTTGGCATAGGAAATATATTTTAATAATATTTTATGTTATTTTTATGGGTTTATAGAAAAAAAGTTAAAATTGCCATGGCACACAAATGTGGCTTCACTTTGAATTCCTCTCAATAAGAGAGCCACAGCTTCAATAATGAGAGGCGATGTATGTTACTACCCTACCATTATTGTATTTTTACTACAGAGTAAGATATTTTTGGGTACATTTTTATTTAAATAACCATTTGAATAAAATTGTATTTAAATAATTTTCAGACACAGTTATTCAAAGAATTTTAAGAAAACAACATTCAATTCAAATATGTTTCGAATACATTTTTGTTTAAATAATCGTAATTGAAAATATATTTATATAATTATTTTTGATAAAACTTCGTCAAAATCTGTGTATAATAATATAAATTATATTATTTTCCTATAGTTATCGGTGACAATAAGAATAAGAGGATGCCGAGAAAACTATTATATCACCACTAAAATTCAATCCATAATTCTTAATTATTACCCAGTTATTCAGCTTTAATATTATGTCTTAAATAATTCAGAGATCTTATTTTGGATTAATTTATTTTAAATTTGATGAATGGTTTGATAAAAATATTAATGACCACTGTAAATTTCATCATTGCAATGTTATCATTGGGAATGTCATACAAAAAGTAGTTTTCATAACACTTGTATAAATTATTTAGAATTTCAATTTTCAACCACAGTTTCTGCAAGGTCTGAAATATGCGAGCGTAATTTATTCAAAACTTCAATTCACTGATTCAATACTTAAAAAGTCAATTTTAGAAAACCGGATACATTACAAAAACAAGAAAAATTATTTTTAAATGGTTAATATTCATTGGTAAATTATGTTTTTGTTTTTGCATTTTTTTTGTTACTCTATATATATCGTATTAGAATCTAAGTATATTTATAATATCCGGAAATATATTTAAAAGTAACACATTTACCAAAAATGAAATAAATATAAATACTTTTGTAAAAATTAATAATTCGTTACTACATGCCTAATGTTCTGATTTGAAATTTTTTTAAAGGAGCATGGAGTGAAAATTATTATGGGTTGGCCGAGACTTACAACAATTTGAGTATCACCTGGAATATTGGAACGCAGGTCTAGTTGCATAGATACAGTATATAAGTAGTTAGTCGCGGTACATAACCTTGACCTATTGGTTCAGAGCCAGATGTGACGGAGATCAGACACCGAGACATCGGTATTATGTTTTATCGACATTGTCACGATAGTTTCTGCTGGTCCCACTGAAATGATATGATAATATTATTTTAAATTCAATATTTAAATAACGAAATATAATAATATAATATTCGTACCGTTGAATTCCGGTATTATTCATATATATATATATATATATATATATTATGTATATACATACATATTATCAAATATGCTTTGAGCCATAGTCTAGTCGTGGCTACATAATTCACATCAAAGAATCTTTATTGACTTGAGCATTTGTGCGCCTCGCTGAGATTTTGTCTATGATCTCTGTCTTGGTTATGTGGTTAGGTCGACTGTAGCTCAGTAGATATGAATCATCTTATTATCTCCCTCCTTTTCACTTTCTAGACGGATGAACTTCTTTTGAAGTTTCCTCGACCGGTCCGAATTTCTCCATTTGTATTTTTATTTTGAGTTTGTCGAATCCAAACGTCCCTCGAACACTACTGTCCTACAAAACAAACCAATAAATGCATTAATCTCTATATTACAAACGCACTATAAAATTTTTATTATACATATTATTATTTTAGTTTTCCAGTAATTTATGTTTTTTAATCACTAGAATATGTATTAGGCAAATATTTTCAAGTTATATTTGCAAATTAGTATAGATTACTAAATGCATCCCCTCCAAAAAGAAAAATTACCACAAAAAATATAAAATTTAACAAATCATTTTCAAGATAAAAAAAAACCATTTGTGTTACCTATACACATACGAGTAGTTCTTTATTTCGTGTATTTATATTATAAAATTACTATGATACAGATTTTGAATCACCCTAATGTAATTTGAAAATGTGCCTACATAATATTATTACCTAGGTTAGTTTATGTTATACTTTTTAAAATAAATGGTATTGAGCGGGAATCGAGTGCTGCAGTGGTAATAGTTCAATAATTACAAATAATTTACAATAGTCCAAGATCAACAATTATTGTAAGTTGGTACAATTATGGTTATCAATCGTTATTATCTAATTATTTGTTACCTTCGGTTCATTGATATCAAACTTATTACTTCTGATATTTACAAATTTGTAATTTTCAAATATTGTAATTTACATATTATAGAAAAATGTATAAGCACCTCCTAAAAAATACCTAACTTTGAGGTACCTAAATTTTGCCAACTGATAAAATCACATTTTTTAATCAAAAAATTCATAAAATATATGTATTCAATTTTTTTACAATTAATACTATTGAAATCTTCTTTTATCGAAGAAAAAGATGTAGGTAGATAAGAAATGTTAAACAAATTAACATTTTAAGTTTTAAGTAGGTGTACTCGTGTTATTACAGCTATAATATTGTACACTCAGTGAAAATATGTTTAGAGGACAATATTTTACATACCTACTCATAATTCAATTAAAAATTGAAATATCGTAAAAATCAACAAGAGAACATAGAATCTGATAATGTTCTTACCTAAATCTTTGATGATAACAATAGGTCAATTCACTCTAGTATAAAAACTAACAGCACTCTATTGAGACTAGTGAACGAAAACGTGCTAGGTCGTACGTGTGTAAGACGGAGACAATGCATGCGGGTGCGACGACGTCCTCTTAAAATTATTTTAATGTCTGACGTCAGCTATTTTAAATCTCCAATTGAACCTGCAGCGGATCAAAACATTATTATCTGGATAAAATACAGTCGAAAACGTTGTATAATATGGTGTGTGTTCGTGTGGGGTAAAAGTGTCAAAATTTTTTTTTCTATACTCCGGCTCCGTTTGAAAATATATTTTTGTGACATTGCATGATAATTTTACTGCGTGCAGAGAGATTACGTTATGCAAATAATTTCTAGACCCCGGGAGTTTTGCGTCCGGCGTGCTACGCATTACAATTCAGAAACATCCTTTGCCGATGGGAATCGGCGGAATATCAAACGGAGAAATATATATTCCGAAATAGAATGTATTTGACGTTACTCGGTTAAAGAGCATCAATAAGCGCATATCTATCGTATTTATTTATTGAAATCCTCCGAATCTCTTGTATAGTTGCGACCCCTCGTAGCTGCAACGTATACGAGTTTATCAAATAATATTATTACGAGTATGTAGTGCCGATATTGTAGTACCATAATATGATAAAACGTTACATCACATTATGTGTGCCTATATATGCTGCGAGGAAAGTCTCTTCGCGAGGTTATTAAGACTCGTAGTCTGAGTGGCTGCACCTCAGGAAAAATAAGATTTCGCGGATCCTCAATCATCATCAGTTTTAAAACTTCAAATATTTATGAACATTACATAAAAGCATGCAAAAATCGCAAAAGTATCCACTGTTGTCACTGATGGAAATTACAATACATCACATTGTGGCGCAACGTCGTTACGGCACAACGATCAAAATAATGTATTATGGTGAAGTTTGACGCAGTCTTGCAATCAAAAATAATGGCACCCTCAAAGGAGAAAAAGAATATTTAATAAGCTAATTAACCCCGAATGATGGCTTATGTTATATGTATTATTGTACTGACGAAAATGCGACACCACGGTATCTACGAGTGTCGTACCTTAAGTAGTAATTATTATAAATACGAAAATAATAACTCGGAAATTCGTCGGCAGTCACGCGTATAGGCACGTGATGATGTTAGTGCAGAATATATTTTGGGCCACTTTTACAAACTTTTTAACTATTGTTATAATGTACATCATATATTTTATTTTGATAAAAAAAGTAATACTGTTATTGTTTTATCTCTAAGCATTGGCTACCTACTAAAATTTGGGCTCATGTAACTACTCAAGTGACTGTTGAGACTGAAATTATACAGATTATTTAAAAATAGTTCAAACTAAAAATATATTTTTAAATTTAAACAATATATTAATTATAATTGTATTGATACCGATGAACAAATTTAAATAGTACAGGTTGTATTTAAAGAGAAAAATTAAACTTTTAAATAATACCATTTTCTGAAATTTTTTGGAATTTCTGGAAATTTGTTCATACACATTTCTTAGAGATGAAATTTCCTAACAGAACCGTCCCTAACGAAATAATATAGGGGACGTAAGATGCATTAATGTGTCAACTAAAAAAAATTTTCTTGCATAGCTCAACAATTATCTCCTATCTACATGCATAGTAATCAGTAGACATATTTTATACCATATATTACAGAATTTTAAATGTTTTATTATGTGCTCTATTTAAATATCCTTTATATATATTTTTTCATCGCATATTGACTAGTCGTATAATAGAATATGATATTTTCAATAACAACATTTATAACACTGTTACATATTGATTATACTATTATGGAATGATTGGAATGAATAATGATGCAAATTACAAACTGACCAAATACTCAATAACAATATTAACTAAATTGTAAATACTATAAACATTGACTACATAATATAAGTGAAACAATTTTAGAATCTTATCATTTAGTCGATGTCTAGGTGAGACGAGTCAACATAAAATGTTCGCATTAAATAAATATAAATTACATTCGTCAGCGCACAACGATTTCGCATCAGTTATCAAAACAGAATTATTAAAAATAATTCAATAATTATACGAATGTATAGGACAATTTGTATACTGTTATAATATTATATAATATGTACATTGTTAGGTACTTAAATATTATTATAATTTATAGTATTTGTGTTGGACAGTTGGCAATCGGAAAATTAACTTATATCCCTTCATGTTATTATAAATTACAATACATTATTATGACATAAATGTACTTTGCAGTATTTACAAATTATTTAAAAACTGTAAAAAAAAATTGTTGGTTGCCGAGTGCCAACTCAAATACTTAATGTATCAATGTGCCAACTGACATAGTATACATAGTACATACTGTACGTTTGGGGGTGGGGGGGGGGGGGGGGACACCCCCTAGAATCCCACTTCGGGACGGCCCTGTAATTCCTGAGTGTATAATATTACTAGTTGCCTGACTGAATTGGATTGTAAAAGAGTATGATACGACGAGACTTTATATCGATATTAATAATATTATATTATAATGTTGCGTAAGTATAAAGCTCGTTAAAAATCAACAGGCGTTATGAACACTGTTCATTAAAAACAAATAGATATACCTACGTGAGAAATATAATTGAATTAATTTATTATGGCATTATGGCACGTCCGGAAGTATGATAGAACATATTACATAGGTAGTAGTAAGTAATAACCATTATTATAACAATAACGCTCCCTTGAACTTGTACCTTGTTTAGTTGGACCTTTATAATATGGTCGCTATTTATTGATTAATGACGACGGAATAAAATATAATGCATTGGACACGAAATATTTCCTGTTCGCTTTCCGCGTATTCAACGGTCCACGGATGACTAATTAAAATGAAAGTGCGCTTTTAGTGAGTCGATTTCGTTCTTCTTTTAAAGTTTTGTCATTGTTATTTTTAAATTATATTTTCTACATTGGTTTAAAATTGATTTTTTTTTTTAGTTTTATATTTAGTAAAAATAATAGTTTCATCGATCATGTCTTCGTCTGGATCAAGCGTATCGTCCTATATAGATGATAGGATAATAATATCTTAAAAGGGTCATTTTTTTTCATTCTACTAGGATTCCAGACATTCAACGTGAGAGGTGGTGGCGAATTCAGTAACACGGAACAAAAAAAATCATCATTTTTCTCTCGCCAATGACTATCATCCTTAGGTATCCCTAATAGTAATTATCTTTTTACAACTTTTATGGTATTTACTGGTAATAAATGCCATAAATTATTATTTTTAATTTTGAAATATCAAAAGGAATTAACTAAGTCACAAGGGACTTTTATACTTATTACAATTTAAGTGAATTAATATCATATAATAAAATATATAATAATATATACGACGTCATCGTAAGTCCGGTTATAATGAATTAGTAGATACCTATAATACTATTAATCTTGATGAATTATTTTTAAAATCACGAAATTCCAATAATGATTCATCGAAAACAGTTTCTGGACTTAGATTCGATCACATCGAAAAAATATCAATTAATTAAAATTATAATATCACCGTGTAATAATATAATATATTGGATGGATACGAAAATAACTGTGCCGTTGGGTAGGATTACCAATTTCGATGCAACAGCTGTATAACAATAACACATAACTTTGAAGAGCTCATTGGATTTTTCGCTGACTGCACGTATTATATTAAATTATATCAAAAACACATGAAATGAATACATATTGTGCAAATAAACTTTGATTATGAACCCCAAAACATTTTATGGGCAATAATGTTTACCCATTTTATCTCATCCAAATAAAACTCTTCGCATTCACTTTGTGATTTGACATAAAATAGTATATATATATATATATATATATATAAATGTATAAAAATTGACAGTATTTCACGAAACGATGACTCGCGTATATACGACCAATATAAAACCTACGCGTTGAAATTATTTTTTTTCAGATTTTCCCCGAAAATAAACGTCAAATATATTGATCATCATAAAAAGTAATTCATAAAAATGTATTATTTATGAATTATGACTTATTTGTAGGTACCTACGTCCTACATATTTCAAATTTAATATTTCACTTTATACTTTTAGGTACTACCATATAATAGTTCAATATTGTTTATATTCATAAAGTAATATAATACTATAAAATATAGATGAGCTCAAGTTGTATATGTAGATGGCAATTGCCTACATAACATTATATTATTATGTATTAGAAAAAGTAACTGTTTGAAATAGTGTATCCCAGTGTATTTATTAAAACTTAAGTTTACAGTTTACGTGGTTATAAACTTAAAAACATAATATTATGACATTTGGACATCATATTATAAATCTAAACATAAGTGACAAAAATAATTATGTATGAACTAGTTTTATACCCTGTTGCAGTGATTCCCAATTGGTGGACCGCGTGTTGATTTTTGGGGGTCCGCGGTTGTGTTGTTCTGTAGTGATATTTTAATTTAATTTTAGTCAAAGCATTAACTTTGTAGTTGTATGAAATTCCGAGTATTTTTGGACTATTAAAACTCGATTATGGCGAGAAAAATAGAGAATCAATTTCATATAAATAAATATCATTATTATCTTCACTATTACACTATTATTACTATAGTTAAGAACGTGAAACCATACTGATTATTTTCTTTTAAAAAAAGCCCACTGTACTCTATGCTAAATGTGCAATCATTTCCATGATATAAAAAAAATATACATATGTGACCAAATGTATAATAAATTAATAACACAATACTATTGAATATTATTATGTCACATAATGTAAGCAAAAGTGTATTATGTATACAATCAATCAAATATAAATTGCATAGCATACGAATTTAAAGTTCTTGAATAAGAATAAACAATTTAAGCATAACAAAGCTGAGGGTGTAGTGACATTTATTGAATAATGAATATATTTAAAAAAGTAAATATTGCAAGTAAATAAAGTGTACCGACGTGTATGACGAATTCAAAAAAAAACCGAGAAATGACAGATTTTAGGATTTTAGTACATAAAGATGTAATAAAAAGTGAAAACACACATGAATACAAGTTTTCGAACATCTAACATTTTGTGCAACAAACATAAAGACATTTATTTTTTCT